CTGTGAAGATCCTATATAATCAGTACCCAAAGTTGCTTCGGGGTCGGCAGCTCGGACTCGGCCTGCATGTCAGGGGAGGTGCTGTCGACCCCAGCTTGCTGGCTGAATAAAGACTTTGCTTAGATTTTCATCTCCGTGTCTGTGTGTCTTGTTCTCTGGGAAACCCCGGAGTCCTAGACCCTAACACTATTATGTTGCTATAGACTAAGCTGAGAACACTATTAGAAACATGTGGAAAAAAGAGTGAACAGTTCTGTGTGAAGGTCAGAGGGCCTCTTCTCTAGGTACAGTCAAGAGGTTGACGACATATGTCACTCCAGTTGTGCTCAGAGGTTTTCTTGGCGTATTCTGAGTTTTGGGTGAGTATTGGCAGAAGTTCCTCAATGGATGAGAAAGTACCTTAGCAAAATGCATAAGCTGCAGAAATAGCTGGTGCTCCTGTCCTCCCCTCCCAAGGCTGCCGGGGAAGAACAATTAAATAAACATTCTGGATTCTGGTCCAGCAGGAGTGCTGGGAGGCAGCAGTATATCCAACAACGTTAGGAAAAAATATTTACATTTTCCATGCCTCAGGCTTTGTTCTTGGGATCAGGGAAACATCCGAATCTTGACAAACAAGCTTACTTTAGAGCAAACGTTAGGGTTGAATGGAACTGGGTTTGAACTCCAGTGCTTCATTTTAGGGCTGGGGGACAGGATGAGTCACAGAGCCTACTTAAGCCTGTTTCTTCTGTGAAGTGAGGACCATGGTCCTTGCAGAGCTGTTATAGGGCTTAAACGGTGAGGCGTATGTGAAGCCCTCTCACACGCTGAGCCTTGGGCTTGTGGGCCCCGCTGCTGACATGCGAGCACCACAGTAAGGACGCTGCTCGTCTTGTCCAAGCATGAAGTCTGGGGCACCGGAGCTCACTCTCCGCCCTCACTAGAGGTGGGGAACGACAGGCAGTTCTGAGCCCTGATTCCTCTACTGGTAAAATGGTCGGTCGTATGTACCTCAAAGGATTGTATGGAATAAGTATGACATAAATAAAAGATCTGCCCATAATAGATGCTCAAAAATGTTATTTCTCCCTTAATTTTATCCTTAGATGAGAAATCATATCAACAGGATGTAAGTCACCAGAGAGGAAACGGTCTGCACCTTAGTCCATCACACCCTATTAAGTTAATTCACGGCTTCAAAAGTGCTCGGTAAGGATAAAACCACTCAATTGTTTTTAAGGAACTGTTGCAAATTTCTCTAAAGAATCTTAGAGAAAATTTTGTCTGAGGAGAGCAACATGTATTAAAACAACTTACCTATTAGTGAGTCTGCTTTAAAACGAAAGGTCATTCCTGACCTTACCTGAATTCATGAGTTGACATGTAATATATCTGAATCCATGAGTTAACATTTGACGGTCCTTAACATGTTTACAAGTGACCCTTGATAACTGAACCCTCTAGGAGAAATTACTTTGAATAAAGTCTACTTTAAGTTCACTATTTGCTGCCATATCTAAGATAATGGAGGGTTAGTTGTGTTTATTATTCCTTTTTCAGTTGTATCAATGTCTTTAAGAAGCCTTCCACATCCCAGCCAATTATACTGTAATTCTGTGTACCTGCCAGTAATGACCCTCAGAGAGGCCCTGGCCTCCCAGATGCCGGCTTTCCAAGGCAGTGGACAGGAAGAGAGCCAATGGTGGCTTCCAAGTGGGAAAGGAAGTGGGGAGTCTAGACCCTGACAAGTTAATAACTTAGCAGTGGGTGAACAAAGTTGAGAAAACAGCTGAGCAGGCTGCAGGAAAGGGGCCATGGGCAGGCGAGACAGCAGGGAGGAGAGATGCCAAGAGAGGGGGCAGCAGGCATTCCAGAGCAGGGGATCCGGCTTTGGGCAGGGCAGAGGGCCAGGGAAACCCAAGCTGTAAGGTAGCGAGGAATCACGAGCCCCTGTGCTCTTCCTCCTGGGTTAGGATTCTGGTCCTCGGCAACCTCAGGGGTCACATGTCTCTTTAGTTCAACCACTCCCTCTCAATGAAATCCTTAGGCTTTAACATGCCGAAAAGTGAACACACCCAACAATCCTCCTGATGCCGCATGTCCCCCAAATAGCTGCCCCTCTTCCTCTTTACAACCACTTCCAAAAAGCTGTCTATACCCACTTTTCTCCATTTCCTTACCTTCAATTCTCACCTCATCCACTTCCTGCTCCCTTCACTCCACTGAACTCTCTCTTGCTAAAGCCACAGAGGCCCTCCACACCACTCACTCACGCTGAGCCGCCTCCGGCCTTCGTCCCCTCCACGCCACCGCCGAGCCTCCCTCCTTGGAACTGTCTCTTCCTTTGGCCTCTGAGACACCGTATTCTCCTGGTTTCTAGTCTTGCTCCCTCACTTTGGCTCTCTACACTAAGCATGTTCTGTGGAGGGAATCCGCACCCCACCGAGCAGTACACAAGAACACGAAGGTTCTTGGCGAACACGTGCCTTCTTCTCTCCGTTGTATCCTTTCTCTCTGAGTGACCTCGTCCTGGCCCAGTGTCAGCTGCCACTCAGCTTTTGATGACGAGGTCATGTGTGCTGCTGGCTCTGACCTCTCCTTGGAGCTCCAGACCCACACCCTCCACCAGCTACACTCAGGGGGCTCAAAGGGACGTCAGCCTCAACAGGGCCATCTCATGATCTCTTCCCAACTTGACACTGTTATACTCCATTTTGCGCATAAACCAAAAATACCAGCATCATCCTTGACACCTCCAATTGATGACCAAGACCTGTAGACCTAAGAGTCTTGTGACTATGCACTTTCCCCTCCACCCCTCCAGAAACCACCGGAGTCCAGGTTCTCATCTTTCCCATGCCCCTCTGATGACCTCCAACTAGTGTATTCTTGCTCCTCATCAAGCCTTTCTCCATACTGTAGATAGAATTATTCCTTAAATAAAAACAAATAAGGTGGCGTCATGCCTGTGTTTAGAGCCCATCAAAAATTTCTATTGCCCGATCCTTGACGAGGCCTCTGTGACCTGAATATCCCGGCCCCTGTCAACCTGTTTAAATTCATCTTGCACTTACTCCTCTTGTCTCTTGGGTAATGTTTTTTTTCAAAAACTCTCTGCTCTTGCTATAGGCCTTTTACACAGACCATTCTTTCTGTCTGAAAGACTTCTCCCACCCTTCATTTTCCCACCCTGCCTGGTTTTCTTTTGTAATTCAAAACTCATTTCTTCAGGGAAGCCTTCGTTGCCCATCTGAAGCAAGAGTCCTCCACCTGGAGTGCATGCCAGTCTCCTGAGGAGGTGTGAAAGCACACACGCTGGACCTACCCCAGAGGTCCTGGTCCAGTGGGTCTGAGCTGGGAAACGAGCATGTGTCTTTCTCCCCAGTTCACAGGTGTGACGCGGACGCTGCTGGCCTGGAGAACCACTAACCCGGAGTACACCAGTCTTTTGCATTACATGCTCTCATAGCCCTACATGCCTCTCCTTTAATTACTTCCATGGTTGAAATTTTTTAATGTGATTACTTGATTGACTCATCCTGCTTCCTCACCAAACTGTAAACTCCAGGGGAGAGGGACCTTGGATTTTGTTTACAACTCTGCCCTTGGCCCTAGCTTAGCACAGGGCACATAGTAGATCCTCAGAAATATTTACTGAAGGAATGAAAGGTAAATAATTGCAAAGAGCATGGAGGAAAATACATGTTAAAAAGTCAAATGATTACTTGTAAACCAGGAGTCAGCATCAAATGGCTACTTTTTGAATCAAATGTCCCAAGAGCTAGTCCTTGGAAGGGAACCAAAATTATGGCAGAGCACAAACTCCCTGAGGCCTGGGAGTGTCACTCTAACCCACTCTAATCCTGGGTGGGGGCCGACCTACCCCAGCTCACTGCGAGTGCGGGGAGGACACAGGGATGGCAGGAGTGGATCCCCTAGGCAACTGTCAGAAAGCTGGACAAGATGAAGCTGCCAGAATGGTGTCCCGCCACACAATAGGAAGCTTCGCAAAGCCGCTTTTACAGCAAACAAATAGTTGATAGTAAGAGATATCAGTGTATTGGCTGAGAAGAGTGGTTAAAACAGGCCAGAGGAATATCCTGTAGGAGGGTAAGAGAACTCTGGAAATTATAAAATGTGATTATTTTCCATTTAAAAAGAAAGGGCTAGTAGGAAAAGTTGGGGATGAGATGAGCAGAAATGTTAGAAGATGAGAGAATGCAAAGGTGGGCCATTTACTCTCAAAGGAATCAGCACAAAGAGAGTCAAAGGCAAGAGGCTGGTCGTAGTAGCATTTCCCGTAGCTGCTCCAGAGATAGACAAGAAGGAAGAGAGAGAGATGCCAGGGACAAGTGCGGGTAGGAGGCACTATTAAAGAAAAGATAGTATTAGCTGATCATGTGCCCTCTATCCACATTAGAACGGAGACAGCGGAAACTCTCTGAGGAGAACACACACTAACCCAAGTGCTCCGCGGGGCATGGGGCACAGGGTGGCACATGACAAGGGAGACTGGTCACCTTGAGGGAGCCGATGGCTGATGAGACACCTTCCCCAGATCGTCCATCTCAGTTCAGCTTCCAGGGCAGGAATTCCAGAGTAGTTGCAGGTCCTCAGTCTTTCCTCTGTTGGTGGAACAGAAAGGGTTCTCCAGGGCTGCTCAGGGCCTCAAACATCCCACTTGCCAGTCTCAGGGGTGGGACTCGCCCTGGGTGTCACAGTTTGGAGATAGTGCTGGTTCTCTCCAGAAAAGCTCAGTGGTTAAATGGTCTACCTGCAAACACAATGAGTTCAGCTCTGGGCTGGAGCAAGGCCTAGACAAGAGTAAGGTGACTGGGCACCCGGTGGTCCAGTCAAGAAGTGGCCCATGGCTGGCTCAAGGCTTTCCCTCCTGGGAGCAGACCCAGGATGGCGGTACATGTGGGTCCTGTGGACGCTGTACCTTCGCTGGCAGGGCAAGTCGGGGATGTTTTAACGGGAGTTTCTGTCACTGTGCAGTCATATGCTAAAGGCCTAAGTGGGTGGGAGCTTGCTGTTCCATTGTGAATGTGGGGGAAATGGTAAGAGAGAAGGAATTCAGGGTAAGAGAAAGTGGATGGGTTTGGAGTTAGGTACGGGGACGAGCTCTCTCACTTTCTGGCTCTGGGATGCTGGCTGATGTCCTTGATGTGCCTCAGTTTTGTGATCTGGAAAAATGAGTACAGTAGCTTCTTTGTAGGAATTGGGTGACTAGAAGACAAAATGTGTGTGTAGGGCCTGGCATTATAGTAAGTAGCTGCTCAAGAAATGGTAGCCACATAGTTATATGAACAGATTCTGCTCAACCTCATAGGCTAGTTTATAAAGAGTTCTTTCTAGAAATAGAGAAGAGGCTTCAGCTGCCCTTGCAAAGGGGACACCACTGACCTCTCGTCTGCAAACCCTGCTCTCTACCTGTCTCAGGGCAGCTGGGGCTCCGGAAGCTTCCTCAGCATCTCAGAGCTGTGCTTCCCACTTCAAGTTTTCTCACCATCACAATTAAAGTCACCAGAAAGATAGAAACGTTATCTTTCTTTCCTCGTAAGCATTCAGAATCTTGGGCAGAACGTTGCGAGGGAGGTTTAGAGGTGGGGAGGCAGTGTTGACCAAGGGCTGCCAATATGATGACAGTGACAACAAGCATTTATAAAACTGTTACCGTGACTCCACTAAATACAGGCATGCATTGTCTTATTTCACCCTCAGGATTAATTTTCATGAAGACCCTTGGCATTAGGAACAAGCACCATCCCTTTTAAGAATGGGAGACCTGAGGCTTGGAGTGGGTCCGAGTCACCTGGACAAGGCCACACAGCTAGTGGGTAGTAGAGCTAGGTGTCGAACCCTGGAGCTGGCACACATGGGACGCCCTCCTTTCCTTCCGCCACACTGCTCTTGGCAGAACAGCCAGTCCTCAGGAGGGTTGCTGGGGCATCTGCCCTTCCAGGAACAGAGAGGCCGCAGGCGCACACGCAAGGGGAGACAGCTGGACCTCCTGGAAAGGAGGCTGGGAGGAAGGAAGGCGTCCGGGCCCAGCCAAGAACATCTCAGGGAGTCACTTCCTCATATCCGCTCTGAACAGGTCGCCCTGAGGCAGGACCTGCTGGGACAGGGATTCTTGCTCCCCTCCCCCACCCCGAAGAGGCAGAGCCCCTGCAGGATACAGAAGAGCACAGTCTGCTGACCGATGGACAAACGGAACGTGTCTGCCAGGAAGAGGGCAGCTACTCACAACTGGCGGTGCCGAATAAACCCGGCAGGCTCTTTGCTGAAGGCGTTAGCTCTGTAGTAACAGAGGCTCTGGGCCAGACACAATTTCCTCTTTGATGGGCCAAAAGGGTCCAGATGTGTGTATTCCTTTCTGGGGATGAAAAAACTCAAGAATATCCAGCAACACAGGAGGTCCCCTCTACACACACACACACACACAGGCACACGCACACAAACACATACACACAGGTCAACTGTTTCAGCTGCTTTCATTTGTTTCCCTCTAAGATTTGAACAGAGTTCTGTTGCTTTAAAAAAAGAGAAAAGCCTAAAAAATCATGAGTCTGGATGTTTTGTTCTTAAAATATACTTACTTTTTTCTGATTACAAAAGTAATACATGCTTATTGACAAAATTGAAAAATACAGAAAACTGTAAAGAAAACAACAGTGACCAGCTAATACTATTACCTTAGAGGTTTCCCTCTGATAGCGGATATAAGCTCATCAACTTCACAAATACCCAGGCTTCAGTAACCATTGAAATTCTCATAATCTCTAATTAGAAAATGAGTATCAGGCTTGGCCAGAGAGAGAGGAATAAAATTGAAATTAGGAAAACATGAGGGAGAAACAGCCTGAGGGAGGGGCCTGCGGCATGGCTGATATATAAGAGTTTCCCTCTGAGCATCAAAGGATAATGGGAATTAAATGGAGACTCCATTAATCCCAGTTGACACCTCAAGAAGGGGCAAAAGCAGAGAAGGATACAACCATGTTGCAGAGAGTGCTGTCTCAGACTCTTGCTTGCTGTCAATAGCCACAGCATCACACCAGGGCTCAGGAAAGGTAACACTACTGCAGGCTCACAAGAGACACATACATGCTGACTAAACAGCCAAACTGTCTGAACAACTAATATGTTAAAGGAAAGATTTAATTTCATTGAGACCAGGAGGCATTCTAGTCAGAGAAGAAAGCTGAAAATGCTAAAGACAGCTGTCTTGTGAACACTGGCACTAAGGTTATAGAAAGGTTAGGCAGGGATAGCAAAGATGAGCACAGGACCCTGCTGTCAAGACTAGGTTCATGACAGACATAACTAATCAACTGCAGCATACTCTCCCACAGAGCTTTGATAGCAGCTTCAGAATCCTTCTCAGTAAGGTTCTTAAAAGAGCTGAGGACAGAGGGAGAGAAAAAACCAGAGGCAAGGGCTCTGGGCCTGTGGAAGTGCATCAAGACTGCAAGTGTCTTATGATGATAGCAGTTGGCATATCTGGCAGCATCTCTGCTGTCTCAGACAGACATTCAGGGTCATGCTTGTCTCTGAGTCTCTAGATAAAAACAAGCACTCTTCAGAAGCTATCAGACAGTTCCCCAAAGAGGCAGGTTTTGAAACTGGGGACTGAGAGAGGGAATGAGCTTCTTATCTGGGAAGAGGCCCCACTCCTGCAGAAATGGAGGATAATGTTTTTATAAAAAGGGGAGAGAAAACAGAAAAGTCTGTTAAGTGAGGGGCAGGCTTAAGTCCTTTGGGCTTCGATGTGAATCTGGACTCCTGGGAGATCATGGAAAAATAAATGCACCCAGTTAAAAAAGCTCAAGCTAAACAAAGTCCCAAGCCAAGACTTGAAAAAGAAAAGTCTCTGGCCAATTTGCGCAAATCATCTGAGGGGACTCAGGACAGTTAACTGAGAAACAGGTTTTTGACTCCTGATGACACACTGTATTATAACAATAAAGCTCGTTACCAAATGAAACAAGCAAAGCATGCTATGGCCCTGAGATGTCCTATCTGGATAATATGTGTCTCAAAAGAACACACTGTTCCCAAAGCTTTTGTATCTAACAAAGAAAACTTTAAGAGCAAAACAGTGGTGTATTCAGGTTGCTTTGAGGAAATGAAACTTACATTTTATTTCTGATATTCAGCTGAAAGTACACACCCCTATTCATTGATTTGAGTCTGCAGGTGGGTGCTTCCTTTTTGCTGGGAGGGGACGGCTGAAAGATTTGATACTTTATCAAAGGGAAAACAGTCTCATGCATCCAGAGTGCTATCACTTAAATTGCTCAACTCATCCTTGGAGTGAAGAAGCAGGGCCTATTGCTTTCTGAAAGACTGAAACCAGTATGAGAAGCTGAGCCTGCCCATAAAGGCAGAGCCTGGGGGGATGAAAGGCGAATGGGAGCCTGAGCACCCCTGCACACCAGTCCCGTCCATGGTGCCATTATTTGCCATGATGAACACAGGGACAGAGGTGGTGGTACCCGGAGCTGCAGGTTTCCAGCTTGCTGTGGGCCAGCACTTACATCCCTAGAAATACTCAATGCTGGGACAACCCTTGCAGGGTCTCCCATTATCCCTATTTGATTGATAAAGGAATCAATACAAAACAAGTAAATAACTTGTCTGACGTTATTCAGACACACAGTAAATACAGGCTTTGAGCCCACATCTGGCTGATCCCCACGCTGTCCTCCCCTTGCGCCTCTTATCCCGTTACTGTCAAACGATCAAGTTTCAGAAAAGCGTCTTGTCTAAGAGAACTTTTGCAATGATGGAAAGTGGAAATTTACTTATTCTGGAAAGGGGTGTATGTAGATAAGCTATTCCCACTGTCCCCCCACAGGGCAGCCCCAAGAGGCCTGGTGAGTCCCTGAGTGGGTGTCGGTGCTTGGTGCCCGTGCTCTGCACCCTCCACTCTCCCGGCTCCTCTCCCACCCTTCCATCATCTCGCCCTTATCAGCGGCTTAGGCACAACAGGCGTGTGTGGAGAATGAGGAAGGCCACAGGGAAGAAGCTGAGAAGCAAGGGGTCCGGCATATGCTGTGACTCCTCACTCCCCATAATAAAGGGGTCCTGTAACCTCTTGGAGGCTTAACTTGTTTTTCGACATAAAATGGAGTAAGGGTGGCCATTAAGTGAGCATATACTGAAATGCCAACATTTTACTAGCCTTAATTCTTCCCTAGAACATAGCTGGGAAAACGGGTAAAATGTGCATTTCTTATTCCTTGCCTGACCTGGGTATTTATTTACCCTAGGTGCACTGACACTATTTCTAGAAAGAGCACTCTACCCAAGCAATTGAGCAATTGACCATTAGAAAAATGGGTTAATAAAGTAAGATAATGAAAGCAAATGAGTCTTTCAAGAGAATCAGATCAATGATCAACATCTCATTAATCTGAAAAGACTCCTTATTTTTTCTGTCTGTATAAAAATATATAAAATATGAATAACCAACCACATGAACTCAGGCAAATGACATCAGGGGTATCGCCAGGGCTTGGTGAAATGGAGCGCAAGTCTGGCATGTGGGTTTATCTTGTTCGAAGGAAAGAGACCTAACAGACAGGGACAAGAGTGGGTGTCTGTCTGTAGAGGTATGGAGATCTGCTGAAAAGTCCAGTGAATGTGTGTGTGTGTAACAGGCAAGAGCAGGAGCGAGGGAGGTGAACATGCGATGTGTTGAACATGAGATGTGGAGGTCTTTCCTACTCTGAATTACAAAACTGGAATAGAGGCAAGTAAGAATAGTGATAAGGGGCGTTAGTCATCCTAACACCAGGAAGGCTGATGACATAATGCAGAGGAACTGAGAGATGGAATGGCTAGATGTGAGGAAATCATTCTTTGAAATGCAAAGAAAGGACAGGTATGAGCCTACGGCTTGTGACCCTAAAAGGGAAACTCCAGAGGAGCAGTCGGCTCTGCAAGATGAACTCAGTGGTGACTCAGCCTAGAGAGGTGGCAATGGGGACAGAGCTAAAGGAGCTATTTTGTTTTTCATGACATGTTTGGTTTAGAAAAGGACATGTACAAAGATAGAAGGGAGGGCACAGTACCAAGGACAAATTGAGAAAAGTGACACATTTCTGTGAGAACACTGCCTGACTTGATCTGAGGCTTGCAAAAAAACTGCTAAAGTTGGCAAAGGAAAAGAAAAAAGGGTACTGGTAGTAGACTATTTTTACTTATGATTGAGAAAGGGATGAGGCCCGTTGTTTAGGGACTACAGAGCATGCTAACAGAGGACAGTGGCAGTGAAACAGCCCAACTCCATGCCATGTGGAGCCTCTCCACAAAAGCGAGATGCGCTTAACTAGAAAGATTTAAAGCAGCATCGTTAGAAGAGAAGTGGCATTCTTCTCAGCCATGGTAAATCCAAATCTCCGGGCCCTGCAGGCTCCCACCCCAGGCACCCAGACAGACGTACAGACAGGATCACGGAGCCAATGCACATGATCCCTAAGAAATGAATGGAGATGTGGAGGACTCCCAAAGACTGGTGTGAGCAAATGTCCCAATTTATCCAAGGGGGACAGATGCAGTTCCTATTATATGGACCAATAAGCCTGGCAAATTTTAATTAAAATGTAATTTAGAGAAGGTTTTTAAGCCCTTTGAAAAGGATAGATATTGAGAACTAGCACAGATTTGAGAAAAACAAGCCAGACCAAATAATTATCAGTTTTTTCTCCCATATGCTTTCTAAGTGCAGACTGTGGAGGGCCCCAGGTACTGCGTACCTTGAAGCCAAAACGAGATAATACCAGCTCTGTATCTGTTTATGCCCTGACCACGTGGGCTGCATGCTGACTGGGTCCCAGGTCCCTGTGACTCAGTCTGGCTGTGCTTGACCCCAGCACACTATCTCAAGCTGCTGTGCCTCTGTCCCTTAGTGTACCTCCTGGGAAACGACCCACCCTTTGTTTGTCCTTCGAGACTCGGCTCAAGGGCACCTCCCTCTGGGAAACTTTCTCTTCTGTTCAGTATGGTTTAGAAGACCCTGTTATTGTGTGATTGCTGTTTTCCCAAATTCACATGCTGGAATCCTAATGCCCAGTGTGATGGTGCTAGAAGGTGGGTCTTTGCAAGGTGATTAGGTCATGAGGGCTGGGGCCTCAATGATTGGATTAGCAATCTTATCAAGAGCCCCCTATGAGGTCCCTAGCCCCTTCCACAGGGGAGGACACAAGAAGTCTATGAACAGGCCAACCATGCTGGCACCCTAATCTGATTTCCAATCTCCAAAACTGTGAGCAATAAATTTATGCTGTTTGTAAATTACCCAGTCTGTGGTATTTTGTTATAGCAGCCTGAGTGGACTAAGACAGGCCCTTATCCTGCCCACCAAGCACTTTGGGCACCCCGCTATCAGAGTGCTCTTTCCCTGGGCCACAACCGACAACTTCCTTATCTGCCTCCCCCAGCGCCCATAGGCTGTTTGCATTCCAAAGCCAGGCACAGTGGCAGGTGCACAGGGGACCCTCAAGACATGATGACTGCTTGTCTGAGTTTAGCTGAGAGATTCAAGGTTAACCTGAAGGGAGTTGTCTCTAATTGTGTCCCATGGGCTTCTCCAAGTCTAGACTTTTATCAGTGACTTGAAGGAATAACATAATTTCAGAGATTATAAAGCTGGGAAAGAAAGATGTTTAGATTAAAAGGCTCAAGGTTCCAGATCTAGTGATCGACAGGCTGGCCATAAAGCCTGAAAATGTAGGTAACTTTTTAATATAGATTGATTTTTATTGATTTTCCTATAGCATGCTAAAGGCACAGGGTTTTTGTTTGCTTTGTTTTTGGGTGAAAATCAGAGACAGAACTTCTGAGGCAAAGCATCACAGATGAGTATGTGGGCCCTGATGACCACACCGCATTAATATGCCATATTCACTGCAATTTGAACCGTGCTCTGAACTATGCACTGCCAATGAAGGACAGTACACCAAATATATTACATTATGTCACTGACCGTATTGTACATTACAATGTAATATCAGCAAGCCATTTATTATGTATGCTCTTCTATGTTTCCAGACTTTATGGCTACTCTGCAGAAAGAGAACTGACAACAATAACATTTTAATAGAAATATTAGTGAAGTTTTCTATGAGGTCTCAAAAAAAATCAATTGGATTTTGGGGAATCCAAAGTATTGGGAATATCTGGCTTTATTCATCTGTCCATCCACCCATCCCATTAACTATACTGAACACCTTCTATGTGTTCAGTACTGTGTTAGCATCTGCAAAATGGTGCAAAATAAACACTACCTTCCCTGAGCTTATATCCTAGCAGAAAGAAATGGATATTAAAATAAGCAAACTAAATAATTTTTTAAATGTTGATGAAGGCCATGAATAAAGCAAAACAATGTGTGAGAGGATAGGGCCCAAGTTTGGATAGGTGACATGTAGATGCATCCCTGAAGCTTGCAGGAAGTTTATGTGAAGAAGAGCTTGATGGGGCCTGGCTGACTATTAGCTTGATGTGCATCTAGGATGTGCTGTATCATATTAATAAAAGCCCTGTGTCATATTAATAAAAGCCCTGTGTCGTATTAATAAAAGCAGAGCAATGACAGTCACAGCACTTCCAGACCAACTTCTTGTAGCTGCAAATGCTATACTTAAAGAGTCATGGAGTATATCCAAAAGAGGGATCTAGAAACCACATCTTACAGGGCAAAGTTGAGATGGGTTTGGTTTGCAGAAGGAACCACTAGGCAGTCATCTTTAAAATATTTGAGGATTCAAGATGTTAAGAAGGTACTGAGTCCCTGCTGTGTGATTTTAGGAGGCCATACCTGAACTATCGAGAAGACAGCACAGTGTAGTTCAAAAGAGGGAACCTGCCTCTAATGGAATTAGAGCTACACAGAAATGAGGCAGGCTTCTGAGGAAGTGAGTGCTGCGCCCTCAGAAATATTCTAGCAGAGGCGGCACAGGCTGTTAAAGATAAGGGGTCGCCATATTGGGCAAAGATTCCCTTTGAGGACACACCTTCCAGAAAAGATTCAGCTTCATCTCTCTCAGGGGACTATCTTCTCATCTTTAAAATATTTGAGCCTCAAGCAACAATAATGCCTTTGGGTCGCTCCTTCCTCCAAAGAGATTCTGTTCCCTTGTAAGAGTGGTCTCTTGAAGATCAGAGGCACTGGGCGTCTCTTGCCACTGGGCAGGATGATACCTTCCTGGAGGCGTAAACATCTGCAGGAAGAGCTGGACTCTTCGCCTTTCCTACCCTCAGCCATGGCAAGGTGATGGAGGAAGTAGCCTCTGAAGGTCTACCTGTTGCTAGAAGTGATCTCCACTCCCCAGTATTTCAGAGATCCAACCCATGGGGACCAGGAATTATGTCAAGGCTCCCAAAAGAATTCTACTAGAAACAACTTCATGAGCTTTTGCTCAAGTCTCCTTTGCGTATGTGCGTGTCTGCAGGTGAGTGTAAGAAAGTTCTCTGAACTTGGCACCTTCCAGTATCAGGGAGGCAACTGTACCTTGAAGCTCCGGTCAAGGCTCAGAGCTACCTAGGTGCTCTGTAGAGCTTCCTCTAAGGTAAAAGGCCTCTCCCTTTCTACGGAATGCGGACCTATCTGGTGTAGACAGGTGTTTGACTTTCTGTTCTAAATGCCCTTTTTAGGCTACGTCTTCATAGAAAGGTTTAATGAACTCTAAAGTGTACATAGCCAATCTACTTGCTCAATGTCATCATTTTATGATTATGATTGGATAATATGTCAATTCTGTCTCTACTCATATTTAGTTTGCTGAAATAGAAATCATTAAGATTAAGGCTTTAGTCAGTGATTAACTTGAATCCCAGACCAACATATTTTTTGTCTATTTACCTTGCAAATTGAACATGCATTTTAGAAGACAGAGGAGAAGATGGGATATAAGGTCAGTGAAAAACACATACCTGAGCCACAAACAACAAAAACAAACAGTGCCAACAGCCATGGCCCCACAGGATATTTCTCTTCTTGTGGCCTCTAAAAGGGAATGGGAGAAAGTAAGATTAGGGCATTCATTCAGGAGACATTTATTGAGTCCTATTAGTCATTGTACTAGGGGCAGGCGATATCACTGCTAGTGAGACAGATCCATTCTCAATGCCCAGTGGGCAGATGTAGATGAATAGTCAATTGTAAAGGATCCAGATAGGTCTGGAAACATTCATCAATAACCTTATTTACATCCCTGTAAGTCAATGAACATGGTGGTCTTAAACAGTCCGGAGACAGGTGGGGTATAAATGCATAAACCAATACAGTGATTTGGCAGCCCCAAATTGTATTACTAATAATTGCCTCCATTTGTTGAAAGCACAGTCCAGGCCAGGCATTATACAGTGTACACACACTGTTTTTAGCACTCAGCTCTATGTGAGGCAAGTATTACTATTATTGGCATTTTGTACTTGAGAAACTGCTGCTCAATGTTTGTTAACTTGAACCAGAGCTGGGATTCAACTTTAGGTGTACTTCATTACAGAGCCTGGCTTTTTCCTACTGGTTAATAAGATATTCATCTTAATTTCCACCTCTGTGAATTCCAAATAGGGTCACAGAGCACAGCCATTTTCTCAAAACCTTTGTACCCCCAAGTTTGGGAAGGCAGTGCAGTGGGAATCATCAGAACAGCAGAAGCACCACAGCAACTGTGAATGGACGTGAGGGAAGCAGCATTTTGTAATAAGGTTCCTGAGCCTTAGTGATGCTTAAACCCTGGAGAAATCTTTGCCTTCCCTGGGAAGCCGCAGGAGCCTGCTGCACCTGTGCCATTCTCACCCTGTGTACTTCCTGCTCTTCTCACACCAAAGTGCAGACATCATAACAACGTCCCTCTGCAACCCCTCTAGGTCGATTTTCAGGCAGGGTTTGGTCCTTAAAAGTAGATCAGTGGAAAAACATATTTTCTGACAGAGACAGAGTGGTGAATTTCTCAAATAAAAAGGGAGAAGGTAGAGTGAAAAAAGTAAAGAGCTCACTAAACACTTCCTCATTAGCATGAGCCAAAAATAGGATATAGTCAATGTAAGTCAAAGAACTCACTTATTATAGACAAAGCAATGACTGGTTCTCGGCTCACCTACTACATTCTCAGACAGCCTTCTCTCCCACCTCAGCTGGGTTCACTTTTCATTAATGTTGCAGGTACTTTTCTTGATAGTATTTACCACAGTTTGAATCTCTATGTTTATTCTTGTGATAATGTGTTTAGCGTCTTTCTCGCCACTAGAACATAGGCCCAACAAGGGCAGCTGTTGTGTCTTTTTCTTGTATCAATGTATATCAATGCCTGGCACAGACCTTCAACATTGTAGATGCTCAATAAATGTTCATTGAAGGATGAATAAGCATATAAGCTTCATTAAATACGATTTTTTTAGGTTAGGTAGAATAAAAGGAGACCGTCTTTTTTTACTGATACTTCCTAATTGGTGATAGAGTTAGTTTTCCCTGCATTTCTCTTACCAGGGAAGTACAGATTAAAGTGCCAGTGGAAGGTGGACTCTGACCAAGCATTAAAACCGTTCACCTCTCTGTCCTTGCCAAGCTTGCCTACTCCCCTTCTTGCATGATGGCAAATCACATGACAAAGGAAGAGGTGGTTGCTCTTGACCAAACAAGGGCAAAATCCCACTTAAATAATTGCATAAGATAACTTGAACCAGCATTTTGACTATGTCATTCTTTGGCACTTAAGCCCAGGTCAAGGTCAGATCAAGTAACTAACAGAGATATTAAATAAAGCTATCTGAACCCAGTGTGATATTTATCCCTCCCCACTCTCTTTCACCAGCTTCCTAACAATTTGTCATAGTAGCCCAGAAACCAATTCTGTTACTGCCATCCCACTAATGCTATATAAAAAATTCATTTAGCTCTCTCTCTAGCAAAGCCAACAAGTGAATTCAAGGGTGTATAAATGAATTACTGGACTAATGCTAATATCAAACGGAGTCCTTTATTTTGCCTTCATAGAAAAGCAGGAATTATCAGCATGCAGAACTTGGAGTATATAACCCAAACACCTTTTTGATGACATTTCCCACTGAATCTATTATTTGGGGATATTCAGAGCTCAAGAGCACCTGGCTGATGACAATTCCAATATATTATCTTTTGAGAGTTTTGAGTTCCTTTGTTTTGGAAGCAGTGCCCAGCACAATGCCACTGGGACAACTCACCCAAGTCTGAAGCCACTGCTGAGAAAGGCAAGCAAAGCAGTAGAATCTTGCAAATGACAGTTCATTTCAGACAGGAATTTGTCACTTCCTAAGGCTCCAAAATGACAGGGGATGGCTTTCTTCCTAAGATACTCAGAACTCTGAAATTTAAATCCCACTTTCATTCTGTATAATCATGAAATGATTATATTATTATATTATATTTTCATTATACAAATGAAATCCATTTCTCTGTTTCTTGGATTTATCTGCTATCTGGGAGAATAATATTGATTCACTCCATAGCTATTATCTAATAATGAAATACTGAAGCACTTGCATACAATTAAAGGACCTTATTTCTGAATGATTAGTCTGAAATTTCAGTGAGAATCTCTTCATATGTCCCCATTTATTGAATTTCATCCTGAACAAGTTATCCCTTGCAGTTATTCCCTCCAAAGCATAATCATCTTTTACCCGTAATTAGTAAAATGAGATTTAGGATTTAAAGAGTTTCTTTCTGAAAGAGAGTTCATTTTTCTTTTTGGATGCTGAACCATTTACAGGAAAGTTAATCAAAAACCCTTCTAATCAACTGAAAATAAACATACATTGTGGCTTGGTTTGGAAAGCTTACATTATGAATTTAGTAAGGCCATTTAAAGACCCTCATAGGCACCAGGTAATTCTGAAGGGCACACTCCATGATGTATAAGAAGCTATGAAAATTCACTCACACTGCACATTAAACATAATTTGAATGTAGCTCTGAAGGTTGAGTTGTGTTGAATTACAGGTGGCTGTACTGTCTAATTAAAGTTTTTTTCATCCAGTTTTTCCATCTTATTGTGTTATTTTGGAGCCAACAACTTTTGTTTCAGGTTCCAAACATTTTTAGTGTCTTGAAAAGCAGGGGTGGCAGACACGGAGTTTACCATGACTGATGGATACAACAGCTCTGCAAATTACTTCCTGTTTTCTTGTTACTTTTGCAGTCAGATAAGCTGTCAACTGAGTTAACAACTGAACTCTTGGTTCCCTAGTTCATTAAAAAGAACTGCAGACTAGAGATTTTCAGTACATCAGCTAGTCCGTATGATATCCTGGGAAGAACTGATCTCCTAGGGATAAAAAACCCTGAATGCTTAATATCATTTACAAATTGCTTTTCAGTGTCAATTTGGATAGCAAGTTTTTTTTTCTAAGTAAAAGTAAATATAGAAGATACAATTTATGTAAAAAATGGTTGCAATTCAACAGCACAATAGCATTTTGCTACCCAATCACAACTATATGATCTTAACACCCAAATGAGAGAATTTCAAGTATAACTTAAGCCTGGAGTTGTGCATAAAGCTCTGAGTAGAGTTGTGTGATTTTAAGGTTTCTCTGCCATAGTAATGCTTGGTTTTCCAAGAATTCTGTAATGACTCTGTACAGATACAGCTTTTTGCTCAAGTTAATCAAACCAACATCATTTCTTTGGCTAAGGGGATCACCTCATGAAGTCTGCAAGCTTTTCCAGCCAAACCCCGAGCATCAGCTGGACTTTCACTTAAGTGTCTGGGCTAATAGATCCCAGGCGCCTTTGCTCATGGACTTGGAGATCAACCCTGACCAGCTGCATGCCTCTGAATGTACAAATCACAGGCCTGGCATTTTCTTTTGAAGATCATCTGCTTTGCTAAAAGACACCCCTGTGCATAAGGCACAGATTTTAAGTAAAAGTCCAGTTACAAAGTTTTAATCTATAGTTTGGGAGCATAGAACACCTGGCAATAACTATAGACTCTAAAGTTTCGGCTCATCAGAATGAGCCTGAAGTCACAGGATGAACAAGACTAATGTTGCACTTCAACTTTAGTCCAGTGGTGAAAGACTCGCTGGAGCAGAAGCGAAAGAGAAAAAAGAAAGTGGAGAGAAGTGTGGGTCTGCATCTCATTCCGCACTTTGAGCCCTTCCAGTTTATATAAGGAGACCATACATAGGGGATGGAAGGAAAACCAAAAGGTGATGCGTGTCGGTGGCTAACGAAGGACAGGGGGTGGAGCTTGGGAGGGAGAAACTATAAATGGCCTCAATTTACCCGTTCATTCATTCATTCAACAAACGTTCTAGTACCCACAAGGTTCGAGGCCCTGTGTCAAGCAGTTGGTTCAACTGTTTGAAGGATGACTTTCCGTCATTCCCAGGGACAAAGGCCCAATTCTCTCCAGGAAGGGTTCTTCCGCGCCCCGGTGGTCGCCTCAGGGGCCACTCCCAGCGGGGCCCCGACCAACCAGGCCCCTCTCCGCACACCAGCGCACCGAGAAGTCCCGCTGCCCCGAGCCCAGCCCCCAGGGCCTGCTCGTTGGACCCCGCCGGGAGCCGAGGGGCAGGGAGGCCGAGCCGGGCACCCGCGGCCGCCTGCCCGGCCCCGCCCCGGCCCGCCCCGCCCCGGCCGTCCTGCCCCGCTCTGCCCGGCCGGCGCCGCCCCCGCCTTACCAGGGTTTTGGCTACGTTCCCCCTCTGGGTTATGTTTTTGCTGTGCTTCTCATTGGCCATCCGGATCCGCTGTTTGGCCACCATGGCTTGGCGCTGGGAAATGCTGTCGAGTCCCACCTGCAAGGATGCCCCCCGCGTTAGCCCCCGACAGGGCCGAGCGCGTCCCGCCGCCCCGGCGCTGCAGGTGGCAAGGCGCGGCCGCGAGCCCCGCGCACCCTGTCCCCAACCCCCAACGAGCCCTCCAAAGAGAGGCCGGAGCGCGGACGGAAGTAATCTTTCATCTCAGGAAACCCTCTCCGACTTCCTCGCCATCCTTCCGGTCCCGCAGCTACCTAACCGGCGCGGCCTCCCCGCACTGGCGGCCGGGGCGCAGAGCGCCGGGCCTCGCGCCCGGAGCCCCCCGCTGCCGGCTCGGAATCCTGCTGCCAGCGCGGCCGGGCGGCGGGTGGCGGCGGCCGCGGGCTCTGGGCGCGCCGGAGGGGGAGCGCCCCGCGGCCGGGAAGGGACCGGGGCCGCCGCGCCTCAAGCAGGTCGCGCGGTCTCGTCTCGCAGCACCGCTGGTCGCGGCTGAGGGCTGGACTGGAGGTGGCGGCCCGGGAGGCCTAACAAGACTGGTAGAACAGGGACAGGGCTGGCTCCTGCTGTTGGGGGACAGCCCAGAGGCATTCCCCGTACGGGCCTGGGGAAGGGCCCCGCTCGCGGGAAGGCCACCGCAGGCCCTTGCTCAGATGCTGCAAAGAGGACCCGATCCCCCCGGGGAGCAGACAGGCGGGTCTGAGGCCGGAGTTGGGGTGGGCCCCTGCCTTGGTAGGTGCGGCGGTTACACGGGAGATGGTGACCGGCGGCCCATCCAAATGAGAATGGACGAAGGTTTTAGGCCTTCAGCCCAGGTGGGCTTTAGGGGCCACTGCCCGGACGGGGGGCTCTGCCCAGCTTTGGCTCCCCACTGGCCAGGAGCAACTCGGACTTCCTTCAAGCACCTTGTCCCCAAGGTCTGACTAGGGGTTTCCCTGTGTAGAGAGACAAAAACGGAAGAGTTTATGGACTCGCAGCGGCTGGTATTAGGGCCCCGCCTAGCCCAGGGGCAGTGTTAAAGGGGCTCAGGCCCTCACATCTCCATGTGCTGAATGGACTGGAGTGAGCTCCCAGAAGCTCGAAGAGTTGAGGAGGAGAAGGGGAAGTTCAGCCTGGCAGATGTGGGGCAGGAGGAGGTGGTGGGTCAGGAGAGCAGAGGTGTTAGACGGACTTCGGCTAATACACCCCGGCCCCCAGAAAATAGGCATCTGTAGCTGGGTTTTCTTAGGGTTTTGTGTGGGTAGAATTGCTCTGTGTCAGTGGGAAGCTTGGGAGAGCTTGTTCTCTTTTGGGGGACTCTTTACTGAGCTCACCCTTACCCTCTCTGCATTTCTGGTCATTTAAGCTTTAATGTAGACTGTTTTGGGGGCTGCTTTTGGTAATCCAGAAAATGACAGAATCTGCCTAGCATTATTAGTAAAGTCTGGTCATTCTTTTTTCTATTCTAAAAGTTAAGTTTCCAAACTATTTCCATTGGCTTCTTAACTATCATCACCACCATCACCACCATTATTACAGGACTACAGGCAGGCCCGACCCTGGCCCATGCTTTTACTGACAACTGCCTGTTTTTGGTGGGAGGGGAAGGAGGGCCATCTCTGCCTCAGGGACAGTTGGTGAGCCTGGCTTTGGTGTGAGGCCCAAAACATGCCTCCTGCTGGCTCACCCCTTAGATCTCATCCAAATGCCTATGGAGAAGCAGAAGGTAGGTTCCGACCTAAGTTGAATACAGACCTGGCTCTAAAGAATATTAAGGGAAATATACAGAGATATTTTCTCCATGGGCCTGTAAGCAGAAAACTGTTCTTAACTGAGAGAAGTCTGCCTTCCCACAGGCTCAGATGAGCCCCCTTGTTTGGGAAAAATTATTTCTTGACCTCTTACTCCTGCTTGATACCAGCCAATTTCACTCCTCTTTCTTGCTGTGTTTCACTTTTACAACATTTTAAAGTAATTTAATTAAAAGTAGACAGCACACTAACAATATACATGCAAACAAATAGGATATAAAGTGAATAAGAAAGGTCTTCCTACCCTCCCTTCCCCTCCCCACCAATTCCCATGGTTTCTAAGTTACTTGCCCTTCAGTATTTTTCATTCCTATACAAGCCGACCTGTATATTCCTGTTCAAAAGTTAACACTATAGACTGTTCTGCCACTTGCTCTTCTCAATTTATTGACATTAATATCACATCTACTTATATATAATTTTTTTCCAATGTGCATCATATCTTATAGTTTGATTTCACAGTAATATATTGAACTATCGGTGGAAAGTTAATTCCAGTTTTTTGTGGTTGTCAACAATGCTTCAGTGAACATCTCTGTACGTCTATGTATTTGTGCAGGTATGTATGTGGAATAGGTAGCTGGAAGTGATCTCGCTGCACCTTTTCACGTCCTTCAGTAGAGTTACTGCTGTTTTTGGATGAGCAGTCTCCTGCTATGACTTCCTCTGTACCCACCCATACCCACCCTTTGCCCTGTACTCAAGCCTGCTTCTAAGCAGGCCTCGGTCCTCTTTATCGTCTTGAGAATCACCATCATTTCCTACAAAAAGTGTGTCCTTTAAGCTAGATTTTGCCCCTTCCTCTACTTGGTCTCTAGCCTGCCATAAACTAGAGGTTGAACTGGCTCATCCCAGATGCCCATCTGCATGGGAGCTGGGGCTGAGGCCCAAAGCTGTGTCCCTGGAGCTCCAGAGTAACCGCTGGGCTTCGAAGGAGCAAGGCCTGGAGTCGTCTTGCTCTTTTAAGGTGAGAGGACTTAAGAAAGGAATGGAAACTTGAACAAGAGTTGAAAGTTCCCTCGGGCTAATCTGTGCCTAAAGCGGGAATTTTATGACATACCATAGCATGCCATGCTTAGCTGCAGCTTCTGCCTTGGGTAAAGTAGCAGGAAACTGCTAATTGATTAAAATTTAATTTTGGCAGGTGATTTTTTTCAACCTTTAGAGCAAGAATTCCTAACAAGCCTATGTACAATAATTGTGGGTCTGCCTACTTAGAGCACTAAGCTAGGACAGTAGAGGTTAGATTTAGCTATCTTTATAAATGATATGCATTAAAGAGCACAGATGCTATACCACTGAGCTGTGATGTAGTGGACACCTGTCATTCTTTGTGGCTGCCCAGCATGCAACCCTCTTTTCTATTTGGGGGATGCCCCAATGTGTGAGAGTTACCACTTTCCCACAATGGGAGCCCACTGGGGAGAGTTACTTGGAGACAGACACAGTTTGGCCATTCCAATGTTCCTGTTTGGAACTTTGAATCTTGAACAGGCTGTGCAAAGGTGAAGGGAGAAATCAAAGCTCCCTCTGGTAGCGGGATACCCAAGAGGCAGGCAGTATTCAGCAGTGAGGGTTGTGGCAGAGGAAGCAGTGGTGGTATCCCTCTTATTTTGTGGTACCTGACATTCTTAAAACAAATTGCTCTTCTGCTTCCATTGGCCAATATTTGTGTTGTTTACATCGAAGAATGCTGACTAATGCACGTGAAAACAAACTAGAATATCCTGCTTGGTCATTTCCCCTCCCAGATCTGGAATGATTGTCATGTCGCTTGAAGCCTTCAGACATTGTCAGCTAGCGGCCTCTCTTCAATTTACCACAGGGAACTGAGTCTGGAGGCCTTTAATGACAGGTGCTGTGGTTAGCCAGCTCTTGATTTGGATGGAAGTGATTGACAGGCACAGTCTGCATATATAAAACCACCAGATTACTAACACCTCAAATTAATACCTTCAATTTCTTTCTTATCCAAACCTTTTCTAATAGTGCAGGAGAAGAGGACAATTTGGCAGATCTCAACATCTCATTTTGTACATGTTACTGATAGTCCAGTGGAAATGTTCACCACGATGTCTTAATAGGGGGCAGAGAAAAATGAGAGCTAACAGCCAATGTTATCTGCTGCATGTGTTGGAATCAATTCAATGCACTAGATTATAATTTCATGGGCTCATGCCATGCTGTAACTGGAAAGAAACTCAAGAGTCATTTGTGCAGTGTTTATTGAATGTCTGCTACATGCCAGACTCTATTTTAGATCCTGAGAATTCAATGATTGATACGCAATTTCTGCCTTTAGGGAGCTCTCAGTTATGTGGGGGAGAGACAAAGAAGTAAACACTGGGAAACTTCCCTAATTTTACAAGTGAGCAAAAGCCTAGGAATTGCAAAGGGAATTGTAGCAGAGCTGAAAGCAGAATTGAGGCCTTGCGTGACTTCCTGTTTTCTCAAAAGGAACATTTACCAGGCAAACCTGAGTGGAAGCCAGAGAGACAGAGCTCTCCCAAGGTTGAGCTTTGGAGCAAATTATACATACACAGAAAATAAATACACATGCATGCACACTCGTGCATGCACATATGCATACTGCAGATCAAAGATAAACTACACTTCAGACTTCTAAGGCTTGAACTTTGGTCCATAAATGGTGGCACAAGACAGACTTTAACCATTATGATAACTATGTAATTCCATGATCCTAAAGGTGATCAGATTAAGCCTTAAATTGAAGATGTGATTACCCATCTCCAGTCTATAACTGTCTGGGCACATCTGTTAATAATAGCAGTAAAATCGTCATATCCCAGGGTGGAAAATAAATACCCTACTGCAGTACTTTCCCCAGTGACCTCCCATTGCAATCCCATGGCCAAAGAGATGTGAGGTGTTCAGATTGGGGCTGTTTATCACCCATTAGCATGTCCCTGCTAAAATTTCAACAGTGATTTCAGGACAAAGCCACCTTGTTTCTGTTCAGTAGGGTGCATGTTTTAATGGCTCTAAGAGTTTCCTGGCAGGGAAGAAATAACATCAGTAATGATATGTAATGTTTCCTTAGCACTTCCTGAGGGCCAGACATTGCTAAATACTTCCCTGTTTTTTCTCACTTCTTATACAACCATGTAAATACATGAATTTCTGGAAACAGACAAATCTGAGCCCTTTCACTTAATCATTAGGTGATATCAGTCCCTTTCCTTAACTATAAAATGTGAACATAGCAATAGTGCTTATTAGACAGGGCTGTTTTGAGATTAGATGAAGTATTCCATGTTAAAAGTGCTAAGCACAGAGGTTGGACCTGAGATTATCACTTAAAGTTAGCTGCCACTATTATTTTTCCCATATGCCACTGAGGAAACAGGCTTACAGAAATTAGGACACTTGCCCAAGGGAGGTAGAGACAATGGCTATAGACCTCACTCTCAGGTAGTTTGGAGTCTACCTGAGTTACTTCAACACTACTGAATGCTGTAGGCTGGGATAAGTACAAGAAGCCATTGAATATAGAAAGACGACATATGGACAATCCTTCCAGGTCACTTCTTTCTTTTTAATTACTTTTAAAGTTTGGGGGAAAAAAATCAAGCATTGCTAT